AACTTCAGAGGCCATGTTCTTATTGATGTTTTAAGCGAAGTACTTGTGAAACTATGGGAGCAGGAAATTGTGCCAACTAATTGGAGCCGCTCCGTTGTAGTCCTAATTGTCAAGGAACATTCACTATCGGAATGCGGCAACCATAGTTGAATTAGTTTGATCCTTATCGCCTCCAAATTACTTGCCTCTGTCATCTTTCACAGAATGACTGATACTCGTAAAAGCCATATTCGTGATAAGCAAGCCGGGTTCCGTCAGAGTCGTGGCTGCATCGACCACATCTTTCCTTTGCGTCAGTTATTGGAGCACCGTCACATATTTCAGCGGCCCATCGTAGTCTTGTTCGCCGACATCAAAGGTGCCTTCGATTCGGTTGATTGATGTGGCCTTTGGAACTGTCTACTCAGAAAAGGTGTACCAGAGAAATAGGTAAATATCATCCGAGCATTATACGCGCGTAGCTCGGGCAGAGTGATGGCATACTGCCAGCTGTCGTCGCCCTTCAATATCTCCAGCGGTGTAAGTCAAGGATGCGTATTGTCACCTTTTCTCTTCAACTGCGCTATTGACTAACTCATGGAGATGGCATTCAAAGAACAGGACTTAGAAGGGGTGGAGCTACTCCCAGGAGAACGACTTCTTGACTTGGAGTACGCGGATGATATTGACCTCGCCTTGTGACAGTTCGCAGACGTGCCAAGCTGCAATGGACAGATAAGCACTGGCTGTTAGCCGCTTCGGGCTTTTTGGCGTTTCTGCTGTGAGTTTCTTTGTCCCTACCCATAATCTTTAGCTTCCCCTCCAACCACGATATAATTTTTTGCACAATATAATTTTCCATAATACATTTTTTGTTGCCTAGTAGCCGGCTGGTAGCTTTTCGGAACAATGTCCATCTGTTTCTGGTAGCTCAGCTGGTATGCAGCTGTTGTATTTATTTTCTATTTTTTCTTTCATGTATTGCGGCACAGTAGCTGAGGTGTTTTACAACTCTGGGTAATATATATATATATATATGTATAAATCAACGAACTAAAGGCAGTCTAATAAATAGACATAGAGCCAAACAAATCCAGGGAAATCAGTGGATGACTGCTAGACCCGACGCGTTAATTGAGGACGGTCCTCAAGAAAAACGGAACCTCATTTTTTTCACACAGTATTTTTGACTTTTTTTTTATCGTTGTTAACTGTTCAACCTATTACCATGCGTCGCTGTCCTCCTTCAGTTCTTACACCGTTAAGCAGAAACAAACTAAATGCCTCTGGGGCTACCATCAGACGTCTGACATCCGCTCACCTGGAGACGGCTTGACCTAGACTAGTTGAACTCATGGACGTTTATTATCCTTGGCCTATGACCTTTCTCTGTGTTGATTTGGTTTTGCCCACTGTTGTAAAGCCACTCTTGAGCGTAAGAGGCATCTTGATAAGTTGTTGGCGAACAAGTAAGAAGATGAACCAATTGCTCGTGCTCCCAGTAAGTACGTGCTTACTTTCTCCAACTCACAACAACGTGTTGCAATTAGAAGCATTATCATTTAGATGTGCATATAAAGTTGAGCGGATTGCTCATAAAAGCCCAATTTTAGGACTTTTTCAGTCAGTTTAAGGAGTCTCAAGCAACCAGTCCTGATAAGATTTTATGCTTCATAATCAATTTAACCGATATCGCCCAGTAGGTAAAACGATGCTAGTAGGTAAAAAATGTGCTCTCACGGCTCGACAATTTCAAGCACTACGTCGACAACGGACAGTTTATTTATGTGAAAAAGTCTGTCCTCTTTGCCTAACATATCACAACTTTCGTCTTCTGTTCGCGTTGACTAGAGTTATCTATTTATTTATGACTACGAGCTATGGATGCAGTCATAATAAAAGCAGTTAAAGGCTCCGGAGTTGTGGTCATGATCAAGGCTCAATCTGATCAGCAAATATGCCTCGTATTCAACGATACGAGTAAATTCGTACGACTCAATGAAGTGGGGGATATAACTAATGTTGAAACGCGTATAGTTCGCCACCTTGAATTGTTGCGCCTTCGTCCTATGATAGACGGTGACACATTTAATAGTTTGAAACCGTGTGGTGGCACTACTCCACAGCTATATGGATCAGCGAAGATCCATAAGTGTGAAGTGCTACCCAGCCGGATTCTTTCAATGATGAACACGCCCCAGCATAAACTGGTTCACTGGTTATTGAAGGTGCTTACTCCACTGCGACAATGACACAATCTGTATGTTCTTAAAGACGCCTTTCAACTAATTGTTGGCCTAGATGAAACCAGCTTATCAGACAAAGTCATGTGTTCCCACGAGGTAAAATCTTTATTCACCAATGTCCCACTAAATCAAACATTTGATTACGTGTGTGAGAAGCTAAAAGCTGGCTGTTTCTTACCAATTTCAATTGAATTGCTGAGAGAACCACTGTTATTGTGCACACAGAATGTTACTTTCGTTTTCGAATCGCACTGTGCCCCCAAATCGATGGCGTGGCAATGAGTAGCCCATTAGATCCAGTACTCGCTGAGATTTTCATGATGTTATAAAGAAGCGTTTCGAGAGAAACACTCCATGTACCCTACTACAGACACTATGTTGATTATGTCTTGGCTTGTTGTTCGTCGGAGCAGTAGCTCGTAGTTAGTAGAACGCCTTAACATTGCGAATTAGAACGGATTAACTGGCTGCCATATCTGAACATCCTCCTCAGTTGCAGAGAGGATAGATTAAATAAGTGGTCCGTTTCTCGAAATCAACTTGGTCTGGTCAGTACTTGTACTTCACCAGTTTCACACCGGTGCAGTACCAGCGGACGCTTGTGAAGACCCTAGTCAGTCGTACCAGAGGAACTTGCTCGACCGACATTTCATGTAAATTTAAGTAAAGAAATTAGTAAATGCATATTCTCCATTGTATAGGAAACACCATCGAAGGCCTGATCAATTTGTACAACTGGCAAGTGTCTGACTGTGAGAGCAATACTTGCGTTCATGACTAAATTGGTGTGCTGTCTAATGATGCCACCAATGCGTCGGGGCAGACTGAAATCTAAGAGCATTGTCACGTCAAGTCAAATCAAGAATTCGTTTGTATGCACCCATGAACGGTGAATTTGCAGCTGTAACACACACGCGGTCGAAACGGTAAAGCGAGCAACATTGTAACCTTACAATGTGCTCCCGGCAGTATGCTTCCCTTTAGCAGGTTTTTTGAAGCCAGTCATGAGGTGATAACAGCTTTTGTGGAGATAGCAATACGGCGTCCATCGACCGGTCATCACATAAGGCCAGGCTGTTTTTCTCACTTACTAGCACAGCGACCCACTAACCAGTTAGCAGGAAACCGTTTTGCTGGTTTTTACCTGCGTGAAGGCCGACTACCGATCGATCGGAGCATGACACGTTCAGTGCGGTTAACATTTACTTCTCACAGCCGAACGGATCGGTGTGTTCGGCGATGGTAGGCACACATGTGGCGTCTACGTCCCATCTCACTCCTGCCGGCAAAGCAATTTGCGTCATTAGACGGCAATTCATCGTACCGGTGTACCTCAGCAGCTGAGTGCACGGGTACTAGCTACGGATCAGATTAATCAAACACCCCTGTACATCATAATGTCACAGCTGCACGGATTCCGCTTGAATCGGTCCTGTACTATCGACTTGCTGTTAACCATAGCAGGTTGGGCTGAACTGGTCGATGTTAGAGTCGAAGGTAACGTCGTCTACCTGGACTTCTCTAATGCGTTCGACTACCTATACAATGGAGTTCTCCTTTACAAGATTTGATACTATGCGATCGGTGAACCTATCCTGAGTTGGATTAGGAGATTCCTCATTTAACATCAGCTGCAGTTGAGAGTCAGCAGATTCATGCTAAACCGATAAAATTCTGTGTGTTTTGCCCCAAAGGTCGGTTATTGGGACCGTGTATATTTCTTGTATGCATCATCGATCATGTCAGGGTACTCCAGCCAGTCTTCCTATTATTTGCAAATGACGTCAAAATCTGGTATAACCTCATGACAGTGGATGATCACGCGGCTGTACAGAGACTTCGGGAGAACCTATACGCGGTTATCTGGAAACCTGCTCCAGTTCAATTTGGCGAAATGCAAAGTCGTAAGCATATGCCATCAACTACTCCAAGAATATCGCCTTGGGGATCAGTAATTGCAAGCGCTTCCCAGTATAGCGACTTCGGATCAGTAGCGTAGGATGACTACAGCTGCTAGTAACAGACTAAATAGTTATCGAGAAGAACCATTCGGCTCACTGGAAGGTTCGGGTTATCTAGCTTACCGCGATTGTTGAACGCTTACTTAAGCTTTCATTTGGAACACGCGATACAGACCTGGCGTCCCTGGCACAAAAACGATGTTGATGCGCATGAAGCTCCAAAACGTGGAGCGACCAAAATCCTTAGCAGATTACTTCACCTCCCCTACCAGCGCATTCTGCTTATACGGCAGTGAATATTGATGCCAGCGAGCTAGACCTCATCATCGCTTACCTAATATTGACGAACCCAAATGTGGCTCGTCGAGACTTGTTATAATGGAGCCAAAATACCAAACTGAGAGGTCACCAGCTAGAAATTGCTACGCACTGCAGTCGACGAAATTTCTCTCTTCGGTTGTCCCAAACGTGCAACCTGATTCCAAATCACGTCATCTTGCCCCTAAAGTACAGCTTTTCAAAAGCACCTTGACGACATGCCATCCAATTTGCACTACGTCGCCTAAAACATTTCACTCGTAGGACGAAATAACTTTAAGCAAACTATGTGCTCACTAGCCCTCTCCGTAACGTAGAACTGAGGATACCCAGATCAATGTCCGTATAAATAGATGGGTGTCAATTAAAAACTTTCCCTTTTATACCTTTGGCCATATAATACTCACTCCAGTCATTCTACGGGACTTGTGAAGCAGCCGATTCTTTACACCTTAGAAAACATTGTTCATTGTACTCTCTTTCTTGACACGAATAGCAACTACACTGGTCCGATATGCTTCGAACATCGAACTGATAGTCACAACACGGGGGATCGGATCCGATGGACACATCTATCCGCCTATGCTGGCTGTGGATTACGCTAACCTGTACGCATCTGAAGCATATGGCAAAAATCGGAAAGTGCGGGTAAGCCACAACGTTCCAGTTGAGATGAGTGTTGAAGAACACTCATCTTCAGTGTTTATTCCATATCTTACGATGTACAACGACAGATTGTTGTGACAGACAACCGGGTGGTCTATGGTGACGCCAGATATATTCGCAGGTTCATGCAACACGGTAGTGTTGACGCACTGAGCACTTTTTGGCAAAGGTTACACCAGACTAAGGTGATCTTCTTGTTTGACAAATGTGGAGCTCGAATCAAAAACTGTCTAAGTGCTAACTGGGTTCAACAACAAACCGAACTTTGAAAATAGCGCACCGCGGCTGCTGCGCGCAACTACAGGCAAGTTTAGACAAAAAGCTACCACTTGCCGCGTCTCGCTCTAATCGTTAGTTGTTGAGCCTACATTAGCCGCAGCGCGTTCCCTCTACCGGTTGACGCGCTATCTGAAAAGTTTGGGTACTTTTTCAGCACAGGAGTATAAGTCATTGTAACATGGTTGGTGGGATCCGTTTCCAGATTTACCTTTCACTGGGACTGCGAACAGCCACAGGGCGCATGCGCCTATTGAGGGCCCGTGGGTGGCCTTCGACGCGCCACCAAGAGCTTCTTTCACGTGCCCCATATCCACTGAAGTCCCGAAGAAGCAAGATTGGTAGAAATGTGGTTGGGAGGCACGTTTCACCAACGCATTTGGCTCACGCTTCTGTAACATGCACATTACCCAATTTAACAGTAAATATTAACGTCCCTATAGAGGCAGTAATCGAGGTGGCGGCACTCGACAGATGGAAACCTTGCCAAAATTCACATCAAACGCAAGCACACTGAGGATATCAATCAGCAAGAAAATAAACACAACAGATATGCTCACAGGATAAGATGTCATGCAAGTTTAGTGCAAAGGGCTCATTGTTTGCTTGTCAAGACAACGCAGCCCGTCCAGGCTAAACAGTTTCCACAACCGCGGTTATCGGCTATATTGATGACTTATATGCAAGCACAATTGGGTTACCTCATTTGGGTCCATCAGAATTAGTTAAACAGCAAAATGGTCCATGAATAAGGAAAGGTGAACAGTGTATTCGCAGGTGAAGGTGGAGTGCAGCGAAGGAGGGAAATCACTTCACGCTCACGAACGAGCTGTGGTTGCAGCATCACCAAAAGCTAACCAACCCATCAGATCGATGGAGGTACCTATGATGTATCACAAAGTGACAACAGTCAACAAAAATGTACAGATAGACCCAGAAATCTTGTCCCTTTATACTCTGTTACTCAGGGACCAAGGGACACGCCTTCGAGTGAGAGGACAGTGCGTTAAATTGCAGGTTATCCAATAGGAGACGTTAATCCATCTCCCCGTCAATCCAGATTATCGTGCAAAGTTTAATCGGGGCTTCCACTTCCTGCAATACTTACACTACGCAAAACAACCAGCAATCATCCACATTTATCATCGCCCTTTAAACATCAGGAGGACAGATAGTTCGGTTCATTGGGAAGTGAGGCGTGAGTGAGCCAAGCTGCAACACCAGAAGAGATACTGTGAGCTTATTGGCAATACGTCGTGAAACTAGCAGAAGTCATGTATTAAATTGCGCACCTGATCGTCACTCCTCCGTAGAGCAGTTGGTAGAGCATCGGACCGGTAATCCGCATATAAGGGGGTTCGATTCCCCTGCGAGGCAGATTAATACGCAAAGGTTAATCGTGGCTGTTACTTTCGTCAATACTTACAATACTCACAAAAAAACAATACCTATCTCAAAATGTATTTCACCTCGTTACATGGGTGTGAACGACAGGAGTGATGGCCGTACGCAAGTGCACCTGGGTACAGGTGTACTTGCTAGTCCCGTCAATCGTGCAAACGCTGGATGGGCGCAGATGGTTGAGTTGAAGTCGACTACTGCACGCCACAGGGCAAGTTCACTGATCGATACATACTGTGTTTCGGGTTGGTTGGGACGAATGCAAGCGTGCAACATCAAGACAGCAGTGCATCATTGCCGGGCTACTGCAGTAGAATTGTGGTGGCGCTTAGACAGACCTAACGGACCTGAGCAAGGGGTGTCCAGTAGATGCTTAGTGTTATTCCAGCTACTGCCAAAAGTGTTTTGGCAACGCTGTTGTAGACTGAAAGTTAGCTTCCAACAACCCATCTCAGCAAAATTGGCGTTCCTTGCACATATGAACTGTAACGTTTTGAGAAAAGAGTCTTGTAAAGTTACCCACTGCCGCACAGCCTATGCTTCCGTCGAAGGCATGAGCGTTCATTCCAACATATTCACTGATGAGGCAACATTCCATTAGCATGGAACTGAGCAGCTGCATTTCTAGGCAATATCTAATTCTCGCGGATGCTGAGGTTCACGTATTCGACAAAACGCGAACTTCATTGGCTCGCAAACCGATTGAAAAATCGTGAGATCACAGCACACGCATGTGGGTTCTCACGCATACTGTCTACCACAAACCAGTTCTCACTGTGGTAACTTTTCTGACACATATTGCTGCAAACTGCGGTTGCCAAATGCAAATGGATCGCTAAGCCACGCTTTCACGGTCTGTACTCTGATTGAAAAATTGTTGGGACATCTTGCTTTCCCCTTTATGTGAGCGGTATGATATTGTTTAGAAGCACACATCCCACGCCGGAGTCTGTACGCCGATGAACACGATAAAAATACGAAACCGCATAGCCTGTTCGCACATCACCATCTCGTTCAAATCCTCCCCGTATTCTTAGGCATAACCATGAAAAACAAGTATTGGCATTTGGCACCAAGTTGCATGGAAGTGGTCAGTCTAAGCACTATTGAATCAGCTTTGCTCTTTGAATGCAATCTGGTCCGAGGCACCTTTGGCATCATTTCCCCCGTGCACCAAGTTAGTCAAGAAATCAGTAATAACCGTGAATACGTATATTAACATAAACAGCATAAAATGGTGATAAGTCCGTTAACAAAGAGGCTCAACGTGTCCGTCGGCGTTCTGCTTGCAGTGCGGAACCACCCGAAGCAATAAGCTATAACTTTTACAAAGTTTCCGTGTTGGTGGCGCGGCATTCGTTGACAATACTGCCTTTCAGTGGTTCCAGTGAAATAGGCGTTTTCTTGTGAACTGTTCTTTTTAAATAATCCCATAGGAAAAAACGTAAGGGGTTCAAATCTGGTTACGGGGCAGGCTAATCTTTTGAACCTCGGCAACCAATTCACCGGTGACTGAAAATCTCACCAAGATAATCCCGCACCGTTTATACCTAATGGGAAGGTGCACCATATAGAAGCTATAACGGCTGAAGCGAAGTCCCCAATGAGAATCGGTAGTGAAAATGCCTCTATCTTGTAGCTCCTACGTTAGTTGTCATTGACAGTTCAGTCACCATGTGCGAACCGTGATTGACAGATGAATGACGGTAATCAAAATTGAGGTACTTGGCAAACAAGCGGTTAACGTCTTGTCTGCAACGGAAGTAGGTTACCCTGGCTTGCAAGAAGCGCCTAACGCAGCCTACCCAGCTCCAACGGTTTCATCCACCGCTGTCAATTTAACTGCACCATGAGGCTGGATAACGTGCGGTACGTGCGTCGACTAGTTGAGAAGTGTGACCAAAACGGGAGCGTGGGCGACGCAAAGCAAACCGGGGGCCGCTTACAGCCACGGATGAGGTGTCCACTTGCGCTGTTGTAGATGCGGTAGGCCGAAATGGTGATCTAAGCATTCAGAGAATTGTGCAGTGCTGACATCGTGGTCTTTGCAGGGGACTTGCACGCGCAGGTCGATAGACTTTGAGTTTACGAACGCGTGCTCGGTGTTCAAAACGACCACGCCACTCGCAAAATGGACATCGGTGATCGATTACTTCTGGTTTGCGCCGATCACGGCCTCTTTCTGTCATGCCCTATCTTTCGGGGATCCTGTCGCCAACGCGCCACCTGGAGACCCCCAGCACCTAATCAGCTGTTGTCATAAATTGTCAACGTCGTCATTAGCTATCACTGGAGGGGTAGAATAGAGGATTGCAAATCAAGTTGGAGTACCTAGCTCACTTCGGGCCACGTGCTGGTGTATGCCAAGTTTGCGCTACGTTTCGATGGCTTCTAGCAGCGTCGCCAGAAACTGCTTCATGTAGCTAAGCTTTCTGCCGCAAACGTTCTCCGCGCATTTCAGGATGCCTTGGCCTCACAACTGAAGACTGCCTCATGCACGGACATTGAAACACACTGAACACACAGCCGCGGCGCCATGTACAACGCTGCAAGCATGGACTGTGGCTTCACCATTAGTCCTGTCAACCACGATCCCTGCACGATCCCACTATCTTGTCGAAGCCCGTTGAGCAATTATTACTACCGTTAAATACCATTCACTAGGCTAGACTACTAGTGATAAGCTCAAACAGCTTCTCCGGGAAGATCGCGAAGCCTGTTGGACGCAGCTGCTCATTGAGATGGAGCAAGCGGTCACCTCGGGGAATTTCCGTAAGTTTTTCTCCTGCTCCGATCTACTGAAGGCAAAACGCCGCCTGTAAGAGAAGTTTTCTGTTAAACCATGGGCAAGGCAATACAATGTCAGAAGCGCCGACTCAAGCGTTGGGCCGAGCACTTTTAGCAGCAATTTAATTGGCCAGCAGCACCAATGAGTTCCCATTCTGGAGCCCAGAGCGCTCCCTGGTGTGTAGACGCTTCCCCACCATCCGAGGCTGAGTTTGCCCACGAGCTTTGCCTTTTAAAGCGCTATAAGGCCCTTGGCCCAGAGGAACTCCCTCCGGCACTTTTCAAAGATGGCGCTCCATCACTTGTTCAGGTGTTAATCTCTCGTCCAAGAGATCTGGGTCGCTGAAGTTATCCCATCTGATTGGAGCCTAGCGGATATCGTGCTCGTGTTTAAAAAGGGTACCCAAACTGAGTGCGCCAACCACAGAGGGATTAGTCTAATCTGGGCTGTTTCCAAGATGGTCGCAGCGCTGCTTCTAAGGAGGTTCAGCCTGGTACGTAAACAGAGCATATATGAA